TAAAAAATGTATACATAGTCCCTAGTTTTGTCGATGAAAAGCCCTAAAAATTATTCCCTAACATGTACATTGTGGGCTCAAAACATTATTTTCTACTAAAATGAACCAGGGCTCCTTGGAGAAACGGCCAATTCCAAGTCAGAGTCGGGAAATATACAAAATGAACCTGGAACATGTTGTAACACCAGAAATCAAGGAAGCTACCAAAGACTCAGGAGCTAACTTGAAGGAGTTTCTACTGGCCAAAGATAAGACAGTTTGATTTATAATAAGTATATTAAGGCAATGGATTAAAACATAAAAATGTTTAAACCCATAAGTCCATAAATGACATGGATAAAAAAGATATAATTTATTGGTCACCTTTGGATGATGCTATAAAAGCAACTCATTATTTTGAAAACTGATTAGTAAATGGAAAAACAATCACTTAGCCTGTCTTTTCTGTATAATATGTAACTCATGGCAACCAAATAATAGATGAGAAGCAATTTCTCTTTGTAGAATTATTCCATCTAATCAATAAAGAAATGTAGAATATCACCATTTTGCAACCATTAATTAATGGATCTAAGCAGTAATCAGCAACGACTAGTAACAGAACAAAAAGTGACAACTATGCATTAGATGCCTCCTGGTGGAAGTAGCTAGAAGTAATATTGCTAAAAGAAAAAATAAAAACCTGAATCTGATCCAGGTTCTAGATCTAACTATCAACTTACAAGAAATACAGAGGATGATGTTAATTACCACTATGTGACAAAATCTAGAATATGGAAAACTAAAGGTCAAATGACCCAGTTACTTAAAAAAGGAATATTAGGGGAAAAAAGAGAGATGGAGGGGAACGAATCATCTATAAATTATAAGAGACAAGAATCTGAGGAGCTATGAATATTCCCAGCACCCAGATCCTGATTTCTAAATATCACATTCACTAATAGGAATCAGACGTCTTTGGAGAAGTTGCTGATTCCAGGTCTGAAATGGGGAAAGTACAAGGTGAGCCTGGAACATTATGTTTGTGCTAAAAAGTGAAGAAATTCTCAAAGAATGATGGGGGCACATCAAAAGGACAAAGGGGCCACCCTGAACGGACTTGTACTGGCCAACCTAAGGACAATTTCAACATGAAAATGAATAATGACAGTATTAGATGATAACACATTGAAAAAATAAAAATCAACCATCTTATTAATAACTGATTTAGGCAAGAATCATCACTGAATCTTAAAACCACTGGGTAAAAGTTTTTGAGAAACAGGATATTCATGCAGTTTGACAGTTCCTCAAAATGGTAAAGATAGAGTTACCATATGGTACAACAATTCTAATCCTATGTATCTACCCAAAAGAAATGAAAACATACATTACTACAAAAACTTGTACATGAATGTTCATAGCAGCATTATTCATAACAGCCAAAAAGTGGAAACAACTACAGTATCCATCAATGGATGAATGGATAAACAAAATATGGTCTATGTATACAATGGAATATTATTGCTCCATAAAAAGAATGAGGAACTGATATGCACTACAATGTGGATGTTGAAAACATGCCAAGTGAAAGAAACCAAATATAAAAGGCCACATTTTATATGATTCCATTTATATAAAACATCCAGAATAAACAAAATCATGGAGACAGAAAGTAGTTTAGTGGTTGCCAAGGAATGGGAGGAGGAGAGAATCCAGAGTGACTACTAAGGAGCAGGGGCTTCTTTTAGGGGTGATGAAAACATTCTAGAATTTGATAGTGATGATGGTTGCACAACTCTATGAATATACTAAAAACCACTAACTTGTATACTTTTAAAGACTGAATTTTGTGATGTGTGAATTATATCTCAATAAAGCTACTTTTAAAAAATAGATAATCAAGATGTTTCGGGAAAACAAATCTTACAGGAATATCTAAGCTGAACAAGAAAAAAGGAGTCAGGTTATCTAACCTGGAATTACAGCATTAGAGTCCAGGCCTGTGACTAATGTGGGCCTGGCTTCAGATAAGTAAGTGATAGGTGAGAATCATCAAAGTGGTAGGGCCTGGGTGGTAGCATTTAATAAACATATATGGAACAAAAGGAACTATGCAGAAACTTGCCGGTGAGCACCAACTTAAGCAGAATGAGTGATCTGGTGTGGGGAGGATAGGGGAGGGAGTATCAGTCTTATGTTTGAGGTATTCATGTTCCTGTCCTCCAACAGTGCCAAAGGGCCACAACCTTTTCTTAAGATATTCGTAAAAGTCCTTTCAGAGTGCCTCACCTCTGACTGATAGGCTGGAGCCTCATTCCCAGGGCCTGGGTCAATCCTACTTACCTGGAAAGCTCCTAACTAGGATTCTTCCTTCTGCCGGGGATTCTTCAACCTCCAACTTGAGGATGAGGTCTGGTTTAGTAACCTGTTGCCCTATTAATGAGAAATGACAGAGATACTTCCTTGGTCTTCAGAGCCTCTGAGACAGAGGAAGTTGCAGTTTGGGGGCAGCACAAGGGACCTATCACTAACAAATTGTAAAATCAAACCATTTAACCTGGGTTTTGAGTTCACAAACACCTAGTCACAAGAGGTAGAGGGGGAATTGAGAAAGAAAAGGTCCTCTATTGGATACAATAATCATAAATAGCAAAATTACCTGAGGAGGCCATCCTTACCCACAAAGACCAGGTTGCTGTAGGTCTCCAGCATCACGTCTCTATACAGGGTCCTCTGTGGAAGGTTTAGGTACTGCCACTCCTCCTGGGAGAAATCCACAGCCACGTCTTCAAATGTCACTAGTTCCTGTAATGGTGCATTCCTTTTATTTTAAAATGCTTGCGACTGGGTAATAAAGCTAGAATGTAGGGGAACTACTGATTGGGTTTCCAGTTCATCATAATGACAATACTAGATGTGTATTTCATATTAAGTTAGTGACCTACTTTGTGGAAAATCACAAATCATAGTGGAAAAATATTCCATTAATAGAATATTTAAAGACAGTGTGATATTAGAACAAGGATAGACAAATAGTCCAGTGGAGCTAGAAAGAGAATCCAAACATGTATATATATCTGATTTATGGCAAAGTTGGCACAGTAAAGCAACTGGGAGAAAATTATCTTTTCAATAAATGTAGATGGGTTATTTGGATATCTATATGGGGAAAAATGAAATGTAACCCCTGTTACTATACACAAAAATTAGCTACAGGTAAATTATAAATCAAATGCGAGAGGTAACCAATAAAGTGCCTATAAAATAATACAGAAAAATGTCTTCCTAAGCTTGAGATAGGGAAAGAATTCTGAAACAAGGTATGTAAAGCACCACTCATAAAGGAAAAGACATGTAAGTGTTACAAGAGTAAAAGTACTGCAGTGAAAAGGCAAACCACAGATGGGGAGATTATTGGCAATATTAATGAGTGATAAAGGGGTCTTATCTGTAATATATAAAATAACCCCTACAAATCAATAAGAAACATACAAATAACACGAAAGAATAGACAAGAGAAGTAAATAGGTACTTCACTAAAAAGGAAAACCAAATGCCCTATGAACATCAGAAAATGTACTCAACCCCATTAGTACTCAGGTAAATGAAAATTTAAGATGCATAGAAACACCAATATGCAGTCACCAGAAAAGTTATAATCAAGCATACTAAAATACCATAATATTGTGTTGAAATGGGAACTCTCACATACTGTTAGTGGAATGTAAGCTGGTATAATCATTTTGGGACCAGTTTGACATTATTTACCAAGGTTAATGATTTGCATATACTGTGACCCAGCAATTCTACTCTTAAGTATACATACACCTTGGAGAAAATTATGCACATGAGCTCTAGAAAACAAGTGTACAGATGTTCACAGCAGCACTATTTTTAAACCTTTCACTCAGATGTCGAGTGTGACTCGACATGGTTAGCAAACATTATAGAGATTAAAATTACTCTTTGAATGTCTCAATAATTTGAAATATAAAAAAATCCAAATAAATAAGTTTGTATGAAAAGAAACTCCAGTTTTTTATTCTACTGCCGCACTTTGTAAAATCTGGGGTATTTAAAAAATTAAATCCTGAGTAGAATAAAGGAATCGAGAAAAAAGCGAGTGCAAAATCATGGAAGAAATCCAAATGTCCATCAACAGCAGAAAGAGTAAATTATGGCACAGTGATTCAATGGAATGCTGTGTAGTAATGAAAATGAATGAACTGCCACAGCATGTTGTGAAGCAGGTTCACTGTGCACTGGTTACCAACTTGTCTGAGTCCAGTGAGACAGAATACCCCTGTACACCAGTTACATGGAGCACATTTATTACCTACAGATAGGGTGCAAGGAACAACAGAAACCTAGTATTCATTGTGAGCTGGTACCCCAAGACTCAGGAAAGCTGCACAAGGTGGATGGAGTCTCATATGTGTGTACCCCACTTGCACCACAGCTGACAGACCTCAGAAAGCAGCCTTCCTTGGGTTTTATACCTTGGGTGGGGCGGGGGCACATGGCACACTAGGCTAAAGCACTGAGGAACATCCAGTTTCTAGGAGGTGACCAGAACAGAGCCCAGGCTATTCTGGCCAGCTCCTCCCTTAAAGCAGGATGTTACATTCCCAACACATTATACAGTTATTCTTGAGAACTATAAGTAAAAAAGCAGGGAGAAGTCAGTCAGTCCAAGGCTACCCAGAGAACTGTTCTGCACATGTCCAATGTAGATGAATGTCACAGATGTACTGATGAGCAAAAGAAATCAGAAACAAAAGTCTATATACTGCACTATCCTATTTATATATAGTAAGAGAACAGGCAAGGCTAATCCATGATGTTAGAAGTCAGAATAGTGATTAGTTTTGTGGGTGGCAATGACTTTGGGACAGGGTATAAGGGAAAATTCTGAGGTCCCGATTATGCTTGATATGTTGGCCAAGGTGGTGGCTACATAGCGTGTTCACTTTGTAATAATTCATCAAGCTATACACTTTTAAACTGTATACTTGCTTTCCATGCTACCCGCGGAAGGGGCCCATACGGCGTTGTTCTGGATTCCTGTCGTAACTTAAAGGGAAACTTTCACGATGTCCGGAGCCCTTGATGTCCTGCAAATGGAAGAGGAGGATGTCCTCAAATTCCTTGCAGCAGGAACCCACTTAGGTGGCACCAACCTTGACTTCCAAATGGAACAGTACATCTACAAAAGGAAAACTGATGGCATCTACATTATAAATCTGAAGAGGACCTGGGAGAAGCTTCTGTTGGCAGCTCGTGCCATTGTTGCCATTGAAAACCCCGCTGATGTCAGTGTCATATCCTCCAGGAATACTGGCCAGCGAGCTGTGCTGAAGTTTGCTGCTGCCACTGGAGCCACTCCTATTGCTGGCCGCTTCACTCCTGGAACCTTCACTAACCAGATCCAGGTAGCATTCCGGGAGCCGCGTCTTCTGGTGGTTACTGACCCCAGGGCTGACCACCAGCCTCTCATAGAGGCATCTTATGTTAACCTGCCTACCATTGCTCTGTGTAACACAGATTCTCCTCTGCGTTATGTGGAAATTGCCATCCCATGCAACAACAAGGGGGCTCACTCTGTGGGTCTGATGTGGTGGATGCTGGCCCGGGAAGTTTTCCGAATACACGGCACCATCTCCCGTGAACGCCTGTGGGAGGTCATGCCTGATCTCTACTTCTACAGAGATCCTGAAGAGATTGAGAAGGAAGAGCAAGCTGCCGCCAAGAAAGCTGTGACAAAAGAGGAATTTCAGGGTGAATGGACAGCTCCAGCTCCTGAGTTTACTGCTACTCAGCCCGAGGTTGCAGACTGGTCTGAAAGTGTGCAGGTGCCCTCTGTGCCTATTCAGCAATTCCCCACTGAAGACTGGAGCGCTCAGCCTTCCACGGAAGACTGGTCTGCAGCTCCCACTGCTCAGGCCACTGAATGGGTGGGAACAACCACTGAGTGGTCTTAAGTTCTACAAACTCTTAAAAATGGAAATAAGGTTGATGGAAAATAAACATGAGTTTCTAAAAATTAAAAAAAAATTAAACTGTACTTATAAACTGTGTATGTTATTCTTAAATGTGCTTTATATCTTTACACATAAAAATTATTTTGACAAAATCACAGAGGCAATTCAATGGAAAATAGGAGTTCCTGTTTTAACAAATGGTTCTGGAACAACTGGATATCGATATGCGAATAAAAGAACCTCAATTAATACCTCCAACATATATAAAGATGGATTCAAAATGAATCATAGACCTAAACCTGTAATATTATATTTCTAGAAGAAAATATGGGAGAAAATCTCTTTACCTTGGGTTGGACAAATATTTCTTAGATGTGACACCAAAATCCAAAATATACTGTTAAGAGATTGAAAAGATAAGCTAGAGAACAGAAGAAAATATCTGCAAATCAAATATCTAGCAAAGAACTTGCATTGAGAATACATAAGGAACCCTCAAAAACTAAAAAACAGGAGGGGGAAAAATGGCGGATTAGGGCTGACCTCTTGACTCTCGGCTCTCAGGGTGAGGGGTAAAGAGGACGGACGACCACACGCAGGCCATCTGCACCTACTCTGGAGCAGATTCGCAGGACTGCAAAGAGACACTGGGATACGGAAATCTGGACAACAATTAAAGGTGAACCGAAATTCTTTCACAAAACCCAGGGAGTTGGAAGTATAGTAGGGAGGGAGCGCGCCTGCCCGTCAGCCGCCCCACGGGCTGGCCGGAGGAGGCATCCCTTCTACCCCACACAGGGAGATGATCCCTTCCCCGCTGAACTGCCTGAAGTTGATGGGAGGTGGCAACATGGGCAGACGAGCGGTTTGGAGGGGAATCTGAAGCAGGCAGCATTTTGAATTCTACACAGCGCCTCACCGAAGCAGTAGGGAGTGCAGGAAGGGTCTGAACCCAGCACCCGCTCCTTAGCCCCGCCGCCCAGCCCCCACAGCTTGGAGACTCCTGCCCGGGAGATGTTCTCCTTGCTTTCCCTCTGCCCCAAACCAGCTGAACTGTTCCCGCTTCAGGAGAGGACAGCCTATTGAGCCCACAGCGCCGCTGAAGTGGTAGTGGGTGGGGAGAAGGGCCCAGCCCCCGTGGCTTGGAGACGCCACACAGATCTGTGCGGGAGGCGTTCACCAGGCTTCCCCAGGGCCCCAAACCAGCTGAACTGTTCCTGCTTCAGGAGAGGGCAGCCTATCAAGCCCACAGCACCTCTGAAGCGGTAGAGGGTAGGAAGAAGGGCCCAGCTCTGTGCCTGCTCCCCTGCCCAGCTACTCTACTCCCGAGGCTTGGAGAAGCTGTAGAGGACTGCGCTGGAGGAGTTTGCCAGGCATCTCTACTACCCTAAACCAGACAAACTCTTCGAGCAGCTGGAGAAGGCACCTCTCTGAACCACCAGAACCCCACTGAACCAGTAGCAGGAGAAGAAAGGGTCCAAACCCTGCAGCCACTTCCTAGCACCACCACACTGCCCCGAAGCTTGGAGACACTGCGGGGGACAGCGCTCAAGCATTTCTCTGGCACCTCTTCTACCCTAAACTGGCTGATCTGTTCGGGCCTCCGGAGAAGGCAACTTGTTGAGTTCCCAGCCTCCGCTGAAACAGAAGCAAGAGGGAGAAGGTCCGAACCCAGCAGCTGCTTCCCAGCTCCACCGAGCCGCTCCTTAGCATGAGAACACTGCGGAGGGCTGCCCCAGTAGTAAACTCAGTCTTCCCCTCTGCCCTAACCGGGCAGGTGGCCTTGAAAGCTGAATTTATAAGGGTGGAAAGTTGAGAGTGGTGCTTTGTTCGGCAGCTATCGCATAAGTCTGCACCTGAGTGGTATCTTGCTGCACTCAGTGGTTGGCGTTCTGTGCCCAGAGAGTAGAGCCTGTCTTAGCAAGGCAGAGAAGCGAAGGAGGCTGCTATTTCTGAGGACTCGAAGAACCCTTGGGAGAGACAATACATGACCAGAACACATCCTCCCCTGGTCTTCCAAGGATCATTCCTTTGGAACCCAAGTACACAGCTTATATTGACTTCCAGCACCTCTGGTCCTCAACAAAGTATCCAGATGAGGAAGAACCAGCGAAAAACATCAGGAACCATGAAATATCAGAGAGAAAAGTCACCTCCAAAAGAAAATACTCATTCTCCACCAACGGATGCCAACTTACATGATATGATTAAACTAACAGAGGAAGAATTCTGAATATGGATTGTTAAAAAGCTCAATGGAATCAAAGAGAAAATAGAATCCCAACATAGAGAAACCACAAGAACAATCCAGGAAATGAATGAAAAATTCTCCAAAGATATAGAAATAATTCAGAGAAACCAAGCAGAAATTCTAGCAATGAAGGAAACATTCAAGGAACTCCATAATACAGTGGAAAACCTCAAAAATAGGACAGATCATGCTGATAACCTCAATAAGAAATGAAAAAGGAGAGATCACAACAGACTCCACAGAAATACAAAACATTATGTTTGACTACTATAGAAATCTATATGCCCAAAAACTACAGAACAAAGACAAAATGGACAGATTCCTGGAATCACACAACATCCCTAAGTTCACCCAGGAGGAAAATGAGTTCCTGAAAAGACCAATCACAAGCTCAGAAATTGAAGCAGTAATTAAAAACCTCCCTAAACGGAAAAGTCCCAGGCCAGATGGCTACACCCCAGAGTTCTACCAAACATTCAAGGATGAACTCATACCTATAATACAGAAACTATTCCACACCATTGACAAGGACGGTATCCTTCCTAACTCATTCTATGAAGCCAATATCACCTTGATACCAAAGCCAGGAAAGGATGCAACAAAAAAAGAAAATTATAGACCAGTATCCCTCATGAATATAGTTGCAAAAATCCTAAACAAAATTTTAGCAAATAGAATTCAGCAGCACATCAAAAAAATAATTCACCATGACCAAGTGGGGTTTATTCCTGGCATGCGAGGCTATTCAACATACACAAGTCTATAAATGCAATCCACTTTATAGATAAAGTCAAGAACAAAGACCATATGATTCTGTCAATAGATGCAGAAAAAGCATTTGATAAAGTCCAACATACCTTTATGACAAAAACCCTTAACAAAATAGGCACAGACGGCCCATACCTTAAATTTATCATATCCGGATCCGAATTAAGATGGCGGACGAGAAACACCGCCAGACAGAGTGTCTCTGCAGAAAAGACAGATTCTAGCAGAAATTAGAAGAAAGAAGCAAGAACACAAGCCTACATCGGATGAGGGTCAGAAGGAGGGGTACCTGAGACCACAGGAGACTCCATGGGAGCAGGTTGTGGAGGAGAACTAGAAGCAGAGACCTCCGGAGCAGCCTGGAGACCAGCGGCAAGGGTAGGTAGAGTGATTAACTCTCCCCTCCCTTGCATCTCGGACTGCTGATGGGCTCTCCAGTAGGTGGAGAGACCTGTAGACACCAGCCCAGAGACGGCCACCGCCAGTGAGTGGTAAGCCTATAGCTGACGCGGTACCAGGCTCCCACTCCCGCAGAGCACTTACCTGTGCACAGACCCCAGCCACGCAACAGGCGCCATATTGCCTCATTCTCCCCTCCCCCGACCCTATCCGTGGCTGCCCAGAGAGACAATATAGCCACCAGCTGGAGGCACCTCCAGGGAACGGGACCTTCCCTTTTGGGGCCCTGCAGCTGACTGAGGGGAACTCAGACTCTGAGGTCCCTACCCGCCAGCCCTCCCAGGATCTGCTGGCCTGGTGATCCCAGGAGAACGGGGCAGATTCTGAGGCTTAGAGACATAGACCCAGCTTGGGCTCCCTGTGGGTGAATTGGGACTGGCACTCCTCTCCCTGGTGGGGATATAGTTTGAACTCTGGGACCCAGAGGTCAGACCTGCAGAGACCAGATCCCATGTATCCAGGTCTCACATTGCCCGGAACACAGAAGGGATATGTACGAACAGCCTACTGAAGTGTGTGTGCCTTGAGGGGCAGATCAGCATCCTAGAGGGCAACCCTCATCCCAAAAGGAGGCCGTTCACCCAGCCCAGGTGGCGTTCCTGCGCAGGGAACCTCCTGGCCGGCATCACAGCCAGGGGAGGCCCGGTGGCATGAGGTCTGGCCTGCTGGCAGACACCCAGGAATAGCTGTGGAGTGGGGGAGGGTGGAAAGAAGTGAGGCCCACTCCAGACTGCGGGTCTCAGACAGCCTCACCCCCACACGCAGACTCTCTGACTGAGCGGGGCAATTCTAGCCCCTCCTTGGTAGCTGTTCCCGGAAGCAGAAAACAGAACTTTGGCCCCTACTAACAGCATTGGTGGTGCCTGAGGGCAGGCTTACACACCCCAGCTCCGCCCAGACTCACTCCCAGACCAGCCCTCACTGAGAGGGAGAAAAGGACACACCTGGAAGTCCCAGGGCCCCACCGACCACCTGAGGCACTAGAGTGCCTCTCCAGGGAAACAAGAGCTGGTCACAGGTCACAAAAACAACAGCATAGCCTGTTCCTCCAAGCAAGTGCCACCTACTGACAAGGAGGACACCCTGCACACCCTCTTCACGGCACCTACTGACTCATTATACAGGGAGTGGTCGAACCTCACCTACAGACACCACCTACTGGCTGAGAAACTAAACAAGGTGTGTGAATACCCAAACAAAAACCTAAAGGAAAGAAACAACAACTGATCAAAAGGGAAGAAATCAGCGAAGGAACTCCGGAAATATGAAGAACCAAACGGAAAACACACCCCCAAAGAGAAGCACCAGCCCCTTAAAAACACACACCAACCAAAATCAGGCAACCAAAACAGAAGAGGAATTCCGAATGTGGATCATAAGAAAATTCAATGACCTGCAAGAATAACTCAATAACCAACACAAAGAAACCACAAAAAGCCTCCAAGACCTGGAACAGAGGTTCACTAAAGAAATTAATACAATGAAGAAAAGTTTAACCGAACTCCTGGAAATGAGGAATCAATTCAGGGAACTACAAAATTCAGTGGAAAGCCTCAAGAACAGGGTAGATCAAACAGAAGAAAGAATCTCAGAGACTGAAGATAACACTCTCCAATTAAATAAAACAGTCACAGAGATAGAGCAGAGAAACAAGAGAAAAAAGCAAAGCCTACAAGAGATGTGGGATTATGTGAAGAAACCTAATGTGAGGGTCATAGGGTTACCAGAAGGGGAAGAAGACAACACTCAAGGGTTGGACAAGCTATTCAAAGATATAATAGAGGAAAATTTCCCAGGCCTTGCTCAAAATCTCAATATACAAGTTGAAGAAGCTCAGAGGACCCCTGAGAGATTAAATGCAAATAGGAAGAAGTCACGACATGCAGTCATCAGACTGACCAAAATATCAACTAAAGAGGCCCTTCTAAGAGCTGTAAGATGAATGAAGCAAGTAACATACATGGGAAAGCCAATTCGAATAACACCAGACTTCTCTAATGAGACTTTACAAGCAAGGAGAGACTGGGGCCCCATTCTCACTCTTCTGAAACAAAACAATGCCCAGCCTAGAATCTTATTCCCTGCCAAACTAAGCTTCGTATTTGAAGGAGAAATCAAGACTTTCTCAGATAAGCAAAGACTGAGGGAATTCACCAATACAAGACCAGCCTTTCTAGAAGTACTCAAAACAGTGTTACCCATGGATCAGCACAATAAACACTCACGAATGTAAATCTACTCTAAGCTAAAGATCAAAGCCCAGACACTACAAACAGCTCAAGAGAGAAAACAAAGCAACAAAGTTCAACCCAACATAATGAACAGAAATCTGCCCCACCTATCAGTTATCTCAATAAATGTGAATGGCTTGAACTCCCCACTCAAGAGACATAGGCTGGCCATATGGATAAAAAAACACAAGCCAAGTATCTGCTGCCTTCAGGAAACACATCTAACCTGCAAGGACATTGGCCTAGGCAAAGAATTTATGAAGAAGACTCCAAAGGCAATCACAGCAGCAACAAAAATAAAAAAATGGGACCTAATGAAATTAAAAAGCTTCTGCACAGCCAAAGAAACTGTCAAGAGAACAGACAACCCACAGAATGGGAGAAAATTTCTGCAAGCTACACATCTGATAAAGGGCTGATAACTAGAATCTATTTAGAACTCAGGAAAATCAACAAGAAAAAATCAAATAACCCTATCAAAAAATGGCCAAAGGACATGAATAGAAACTTCTCGAAAGAAGACAGAATAATGGCCAACAAACATATGAAAAAATATTCAACATCTCTAATCATCAGGGAAATGCAAATCAAAACCACAATCAGATATCACTTAACTCCAGTGAGAATGGCCTTTCCCAAAAAGTCCCCAAACAACAAATGCTGGCATGGATGTGGAGAGAGAGGAACACTCCTACACTGCTAGTGGGACTGCAAACTAGTTCAACCTCTGTGGAAAGCAATATGGAGATACCTCAAAGCGATACAAGCAGATGTACCATTTGATCCAGCAATTCCACTACTGGGCATCTACCCAAAAGATCAAAAGTCACTTTATGAAAAAGACACATGCACTCGAATGCTTAATGCAGCATAATTCACAATTGCAAAGCTATGGAAACAACCCAAGTGCCCATCAACTCATGAGTAGATTAATAAAATGTGGTATATGTATATCATGGAGTACTACTCAGCTTTAAGAAACAACGGTGATATAGCACCTCTTGTATATTCCTGGATAGACCTGGAACCCATTCTACTAAGTGAAGTATCTCAAAAATGGAAAAACCAGCACCACATGTACTCACCAGCAAATTGGTATTAACGGATCAACACCTAAGTGGACATATAGGAGTAACATTTATCGGGTGTCGGGAGGGTGGGAGAAGGGAGGAAGGGACGGGTATATACAACCAGAATGAGTAAGAAGTGCAACGTTTGGGGGATGGACATGCTTGAAGCTCTTATTCGAGGAGGGGGGCATGGGCAATATAAGTAACCTTAACACTTGTACCCCCATAATACGCTAAAATAAAATTAAAATTAAAAAAATTTATCAAATCCATTTATGACAAACCAATGGCTAACATCATTCTAAATGGGGAAATATTGAAATCATTCCCCCTTCGAACT